TTTTTTTTTTTTTTTTTTTTTGTAGAGGTAAGAACGGAAACTATAATACGACACAAGAAAAACCATTTGATTTGTTCATTTTTTCCCTTAATCTTTGTTATTTTTTATTGGTATGTAATACGTATAATAATATATATTTATATATATTATATTCGTCCATATCGAATATATTAATATTTTATCAGTTTTTCTTTCCATAAATTAAATAAATAACTCTTGACTATGATATTATTAAACAAAATATTTTACAAAAGTAAATAGCTGTAGATTGCCAGGTGTTCAGTGAAGGAGTGAGGATAGATGTATTTTTTTTTACTATATCGTCTATTCAAAAGTAACTAGACATCCGAAGCGCTTTTTTTTATTCCGTATACGTGATCTTTGGCGAAGTCATGATTTTCTGTTCATATTACTTCAAATATCAAATATACTATATGTATTATGTATTATATTTTTTATGTTAAACCTATCTGGCAAATCTCATTTTTGAAACATGATTATTTATTTCATACAAAAAAAGTAAAGAAACTATATAGAGAAAAATAGGGAAAAGTGTAAGAAAAAAAGTGATGAAAATTCAAAAAATGACAATTCCAGGATTCTGGTACGATCTTCTGCTTGTAACTTTAACTTCTGAAAATGTTTGCTCATATTAAGCATCTTATTAACTTTCAGAGGACTATTTATAATAAACCTCTGTATCGGAAAATGCACTAAAGTGTCTGGTTTCTAAAGAAGCCGAAGTAAAAATGACTGGACCACGATGAAATATATCTAACCACGAAGAAAAACAAAATTTTGGCTTTAATGGAACATGATTATCGCCAATAGTCACACAATACACACACGATCCGTTTTTTATACTCGATAAAAACGACCTCAACGTTCAATGTTTAGTCGCTTTTCAATACCACACGATAAAGTATAGTTTCACTTATTATTAATTTTTTCTTTTCTCTTTGTCGGTTTTCTTTTTTATACTATATGCTGGACTGAGGTATTGAGAGGCAAGATGGTCGTTTTTTTTCATATTCTAAGCATGGCGTAAGGTTACAAGTGAGAGCTGTGAGGCTGCTGCTCGTAGAACAGTACGTAGGCTTCGTTGGAAACGACCGATCGCGCTGGAACCGCGGACACCCGGCTATCATTATACTCATGCCATTCTGCCGAGTATGGATGCTTACAATATGCTGTATAATGACCGGAGTGTGTTGTGCCCGAATGGTTCGCGACACCATATAAATTGTACGTACAACCCGGAACTCTAGGCGCAGCAAAGGCACTGAGATCCAAACCTGTCAATGGAAAATCTACCATCACATTTAGCTTGCTGCGGAATCGTTCCATTGGTGAGAAACGTTTTAAGTCTGTAATGTATTTCATTAAGGAAATAATGAAAAAAATAATACAATCTTATTAAAAAAATATTAAAAAGACTTGAATCAACGCTATTACAATGTAATAGTTGATAGTAAATCAAATTGAATGAACTCATATATTTTCTGTTTAACTTTGATTTTTAAATTATAGAAAAAGGATACGAATAACAAGAATTTTCGGGAACTTTTGTATGCTGAAACTTTTCGTGCACTTTCTCCTCATCTGACACTTAGAACAAGTCGGTTTTTCATCGCCATCGAGCACCTCTTCTCGCGTGAAATGCTCCAAACATTGGCTCAACTTCACTGTACCACTTCTAGCCGGTATTGGCAAACTGAGATCCCAGAAAGGATCTAATGTGACCGACACATGGTCACAAGAAGTGCAATGTAACGACGAACGTAATTGACCAACGAAAACGTCCACTATCATACTATCTTCACTACGTAAGTAGCGTTTCCAGCTTTCTACTGCCTTCTGACTATCTCTATTTATAAAAGGAAATAAAAATTAATGTATAATAGAAATCTTAATTAACCATCAAATTTCTTTCTTATGTTCTCTTCATAGATAAAATTAAAAATTCACTTACGTGTACATTTCAGGAATATCCGTGTGTATTGGTTGTGGTTTTACCGTCACCCTATTCACATCTTCATGTAATCCTTCTAATAGGTACCTAAGAAACTCTTGAGCATCCTGTTGACTATATCCCATAAAACGTGGTGCGAATCTTTGTATTTGAGATTTGAGCGCCGTCGTATTAACCACGAGATCACCACCCACTTCCCATAACTCATGTATCACCTGACTAAACGCTTTGATCAATGCTCCTTTCATACTGCTTGTAGTAGTGTTTATATCAGCGAGGTACTGTTCGTTCAGCAGATATTCCAGTAACGGTCTCGTATTGCTCAAACATTGGATCACACTGTTCATAAAACACTGCAAAATAAAAATATTAATAAAAAAATTTGTTCTTTTATAATTAATCGTTAATTGGAAACAGCTGTAAAAATTTACAAAAAAAATTTATTAAAAAAATAAGAATCAATTTCAATTCTCGATATTCATAATTCTTAATTTATTCATAAATATATATATCCAGTATAATCCATATACTTACTGTATTCCCGATATTTCGTAATCCGTTTAGTCCACATCGCTCATCGCGATGCGCCTGTAATCGATTACGAGCCGATTTGTTCGTAGGGCTTCCTTCCTGTAAGATAGAAATCAATGTTATTTTTTTTTAAATCTAATCTTATTTTTGTAGGATTCTACAGAAGACTTTACAGAAGACAAAAACCGTCAAATATCGTCGCGTACGCTGTTCTAAGCACGGCTAGTTACATTTCTTTAATGGTGGCGGTGTCTAGCTTGCGGTACAAGAGCATGTCATATGAATACATGTACACGTACGTATACACACACACACACACACACACGATACACACATACATATAAATACACGCACACATATACCACGAAGTCGATATAACCTTAAGAATACGTGCTATGCAGAAAAATCGATTAGCTTTAGACAGATTATATAGATTAGTAATTATGCATCATTGGTTTTAAAAGATAAGAAATTCCACACAGTACGTACATTTTTTGTTGTATTTAATCTCAGCGTATGGTTTGTTCCAAATGTATGTCCAATATAATATATTCAGAAAAGGAAAGACAGCGTAAATATCTAACAGGTTGAATAACCGTGAAAAAACAGTGCACAACGACATATCGATATATCATTGCCCGGAACATAAGTATATTCTTTTTATCTCTTTCTTTATTCCATGGATACTCACCTTTAAACAAATGGCTGGAGGCTGGAGAGTAGCGCGCGTGGTCACTATGGAATTGCCGAACTGTATTGTATACACACCGGAAGAGACATGTTTCTGGGTCGTCAGAGGAGCCGCAACACCCAGCAGGAACGCGTACACGAACAGCAAAATAATTATTACCCACACGCACCACAATCCCCAGCCTATCAATTGGATATAAGCCAGTTTACACGTTATAACTCGACTGCATGACGCATTTCAAGAAGCGCCAGTTCCTGCGTATCAAGTAATTTATACTCAATTTTTTTTCGTCTTCATATTCATTTATGTCAACTATATTGCGAGACATATTTAACGAACAAATGGTTGTCATATTGTGTTAGAAATATTTTAAATTTATGAAAATAGAGATTTAAAAACGGCACGAAAATCAAATAATCACAGTGCAAATCGAACAAAACTTTCTGCTGTTAAATGCGAATTTTTTCGTATATATTCAAAGATATCCTATTTAGATAGTTTTCTCTCACTTCATGGCCATACAGAACTGGCACACTATTCGTTGTCATTGAGGATAGAGATGGCTCGTGTCGTGAAGAGATGCATATCGCTCACTGACATTCCCCACGCAGAAATGGTGTAGCTTCTAGCAGCGGATGAACCAAGATAAACTTGTACTATGTATATATATACGCATAAGTACTCCGACACAGAACACCCGTTATTACTAGGTACCGTTATGTTATGAGACATCCGTTGATCGCCGGTTTACTCTCTCTTTTTCTCTCTCTCTTTCCCCTTCCCGGAGAGCTCCGATCTATTAATAAAAAGCAGCTCTCGCGACTAACCATCGAACAGAGTTGTGTGTGCTCGAAGAAAAACATGAACGCGTTTCGTAACACGCATACTAAACGAGCAATGAAAGTACATATATAAGCTAACGTTTCAACGTAACGTTGTCCCTCCTTTTCCATTTACCACCACTATTATGTACTTTATATGTGTTGGTGTTTGAATGTGTGTGTGGTGTGATGTGTGTGTGTGTGTGTGTACACATATATATATCACTAAGGTGTCGCTACGAGCCACTGAACTCTCTATAAGTCGAAAAAATGGCGAGTCATGAAATACAGTGATGCGTCATAACCACGCACACATAAATATATATTGAAAAGATGGTGGTACGTTTTTGGCCGCGTTTAGTATTACTATTTGCCATTGAATGACAGATATTTTTTAATAATAGAACATTAGAATGAAATAAAAGATTTAAAATAGAAAAAGAGATGTTGAAAAATGGAAAAATATCTATAAAATACTTAAAAAAAAAAAAATTGCAGAACTCAATTGAAACTTAGTGCACTATGAATATATACTGTGCAAACTGTACTTTTTCTTAGAACACACATTTTATCGATGATTCTGGTAAATAAAAGTTTTATGAGAAGAGACTATGATATCCATCCACTGAATAATTAACGAAAATTTACTTAGGAACACTCACAAACTGATCGGCGACCCCGCGATAGAGATTTTGGTGAGCCGTGGACGGTGCAGTGGGTGACGAGGAAGTCAGATTACTGGCAGTGTTTGTCCCCGAGAAGTGACCATCCGGTCTCCTGGATGTAGAAGGCACGGATGGGTCGTCCCCATAAGTACCGGACGGTCTTCCCGCCACGCCGTTTTGCAAGATGGGCGGCGTAATGCCGCCTACGAACCCGGTCTGATCGATATCGTACGAAGTAGACGCGGTCCGTTGCTCCTCACCGTGTTCAAGACTCTCTGGATCCCCGGTACGACCACCACGAAGGAACGCAATCGCGTCGATAGAGATGGCAGCGTCGTTGATCCCGTGTATTACCTCACCACGGCTTCCACCAGTCTCGTCTTTGATCTCAACGTCTTCCTCTTTCTCTTCAACACCTTGGATAATCTTCTGGGCGTTGTTGTTAATCAGCAGTTCGCCGTTACT